TTTTTACTAGCTGCTTTAATTATACCGGTCTATATCTTCCTCTTTCCAAAATATAATAGCAAGCCTAATATCTCTGGCTTTATAAAATTAAAGCAAATAAATTAGATTAGAGTCTTTCTTAATACTAGTACTTAAACTCTTTTCTAGGTTATATATACTTTCTTAGAATCTATATAGAAATAGAAGTCTACTAGACTAATTTCTCTCTGAGCTATTTTTAAAGTCTTTCTTTTTGCCTATATTTTTTAATAAGTTTACTATATCTTTATAACTACCAAAAGACAACTATTTTCTATTTAGATCCTAAAAAGCAGAACTATTATTCTTCTTTATATTACCTATACTATAGCTATTACTAGTATATTCATTTCTGTCTATTATATTTCTTTCTTCTTCTAATTTATAAAAAGTAACTTAGTAATTAAAGTAGTAATTTGCCTTCTACTATTTATTTATATTATAATTTTTTTATTATACTTATAGATAATCTATTTCTAGTACTCGGATAATATATATTTATTTATATTATTACCGGCGTTTTTATAATAATTAGAGAAGTATTTATATATATTATTAATACTAGTACTAAAACTAATATAGTCTATAGCTATAAAGTTCTAGTAATAATTAGAGCTAGCCTTATATTATAAGTTACTTACTTAATAGCTATTATAGAGATTAAACTAGAAGAAATCTTTAGTATTACTAGTATTATAAATATCTTATAAATCGGAAGTATTACTATTATACTTTCTCTTATAAATATTATTTTCCAGAATATGGGATTTATTAAGTTAAGGAATGCTCTTATAGAACGAGGTTTTAGTACTAAGGAGCTTAGAGGTACTTTTATAGATATAAAGTCTATAATTCTCGCTAGTAATAATTTAAATATCCAGAAATTAGTAATAGATACTATTATAGATATTATAAGCGTGATTTGAATTCTAGTTATTATTACGAGTATTATTAGTATTATTAGTAATGCTTTTATAAAGCAGAAAAAGTTTGCCCTTTAATAAAGAAAAGATATAATTAAAATAGAAAATATAGTAATATAAAAAATAAGTTGGATTTTATTTTAAAAGAAATAAAGTAATAGTACCCGTAAATATATCTTGAAAAGCTTAATTATTTAGTTCTATTTAAGAAACAAATATAGCAGAAGTCCCTTAAATATACTATCTATAATAAGCTTTTTTAATTACTAAATTCGTTACTTACTAATATATTCGAATTTTAGTATTAGTAAATTTACTTATTTATTTAATATTAGTCTAGTTCTCTAGTCTCAAGATAGCTATAACTTATATTAGTAATATAATTTCAGTTCTTCTAAAATATAAAGATACCAGAATAGAATCCGCTAGCTAATCTGGCTCTGCTATCTTTTTTATAAAAGTATATAAATATAACTAATAAAATTTGAATAAATATAGTCAGGCTATTATATAAATACCTTTAAATAACTTTATAGTATTACTTTACTTTATATATTTCAGAAGCCGGCTATAGTAAGAGTTTGAAGCAGAATTACCAGAAATAAATAAGCCCGAAATATAATATCTAATATTATATATAAATAACTAGTTATTTCTTGATTTATTATTATAATTTATAATAAAAACTAAACTCTAATTCAATTTAAACTAGTAAGGTACCTCTTTTTATAATATTTCAAAGAACTTACTAAAGCTCTGTCTTTACCTAAAAGTACTTCTAAGTCTAATTCCGCTTAGCTAATACTCTATCCCGAATTATTTTTATTTTCTTTAAAATCTAGTAGTTATAAACCAAATATAATATAGTTATATTTCTAGTATATAAACTAATTATAATAATTATAATCTTAATAATAACGAACTAGTATCTATTTTAAGTAATATAGATATTAATAAGAGTAGTAATAAGGCCGGTAAGTAAATAAAGTAGCCCAGATCTTTAAATTATCTAGTTAGTACTTCGTCTTTTATAATAATCTTAGGAAACTTATAAAAATATATTTCTAATTAGCTAAATAGTATTATTCTGCTATTTATACTATAACTAGCTTATTCTAACTATTCCAAAAAGGTAATAGGCTTCTAAAATTACTAGAAGTTCCTTCTTAAATATATATTAAATAATTCTTCTACTAGTACTATCTATAAGAGTTTGCAAAGTTTTAAGAGAAATAAAAGTTCCAGGAAATATAATATATTCTACTAATATAAGCTATAAGAAGAATATAATATAAATATTATCTCAGGTTAGTATTTGGTTTGCCTGAATAGACTTAGCTATATAGAAAGTTTCTATTATAGATATTATCTAAGAATTATATTCTACTTCTTCCTTAAACTTTTTAAAGAATTCAGGTATTATTTTTATTAAATCAATAGAGGTAGTATTAGGTAAGGCGCTTATTATAATTACTAATAATCTATTAAGTATTAAATATATCTTTTAATATCTCTAATTAATACTATTTCAAAAAAGGGCCGGTTTGAATTCCTATATTATTATATATAAATGCCGACTGGTTTTATAGAGCCCTATAAGCTAGAAAGTAGCCTAGTAGTTTACCTATTATATGAATTAGAGAAAGAATAAATCTGATTTCTAAATATAGAACTATTATATTCATATACTAATATATTAATTTTTATATAGAAAAAGCTTATATGCCTTTAATTAGTAGAGTAATAGCAGAATATTGAGAGCTAGTACTATAATTACTTGCAAAATCGGTTTTGCTCTATTTCGCCTTAAAAAAGATTCTAAGTATAGACTATATTAGCTAATAATACTATAGTATATATAATAAATACCTGAAGTTAAGTAAGTTACTAAAACTAATAAACTGCATTTAAAGTTTAATAAAGAGGTTATTTAGGGATATAATTAGTACTAAAAAATTGAAAATCAATTATATTTTAATAGCTATAGTACTACTATTTACTAGTCTCTTTTTCCTTATAATACTTGAAATTAAATTGGCTTTTCTGACTTCCCATATTATATTATAATTCTGGCAGAACGGGTTTATATAGTAATTAAGATAAGTAATTAGTAATTAAATTAAAGTTATAGTTTAATTATATATAAGATAACGGATAGGCTAAGTATTATATATCTATAAAGTATAAAATTAAGATCTGTTATAGTAGCTGGCTAGTAATTGGCTGGTTTTACCTGCCGGTAGTAATATTTATTATTATATTATTATTAGGCTAACCCTACTATTCTATTACATTAATAGAAGTACTAGCTTTAATTCAACCTCTTTAACCTCCATTTTCAACTCAATAAATAAACTCATATAAATGCCGAATTTGTAATAATTATTTACTAAAAGCCTTTCTTTCTGAGATTCCTCGGATTTGATCTATCTAATACGTCTTCTAAAGAGTATTAATAATAGCGAGTTTAGCTTTACCGAGGAACTCTATAATAATATTTCCCCCTATACTATACTTTTATATATATGAGATACAGATATTAAAGAGGTTAATTTCAGAGACTTAACGAATAATACCGGCAAGAATAAAGCAGGCTATAATAAGATCCGGTTCTGCGAAAAATAGGCTAGGCAGGATAGTATATAATACTTTTGGGTAAATATTTATTATATTAATAAAGCGAATAATTCTGAGCTTATAGAGGGTATTACCTCTATATTTTATTAGTACTAAAAAGCTGCTATATACTATATCTATCTATTAGATATTTCGATAGATAGTTATAATTAAATTGACTTATCTTTATAGTTATAGTATTTAGCCTTTCGAAAGAGTTAATAGTTTACTTATAGTTAGATACTTTAAGAACTAATTACTTTATAATTAGTTATCTTCTTTTATTTAAATGGCAATTAACTTAATAATAAGAAATTATTAGAGTAACTACTTTATAAAATAATAGAAATTATAGTATTAGCTCTTTAAGGAACTAGTCTATCTGCATTTCGCATTAAGAAGCAAATATTATAAATAGAAAATTATAAGACTAAGAAGGCAGAAAATAAGGCTTATTCTCTATTAGGCCTTTTCGGTATTAGTATACTAGTTCTCTATAGTAAGAGAGAGGAGAAGGCACTTAGTAGGCTTTGAGAAGAGGTTTATAAGGATATAAAGAAATGTTACTATAACGAAATCTCGGAGGCTACTTTTAATTCTACTAAATAACTAAAGATTTCTTATAACCAGTCCTCCTTTATTTCTTCTCTAATTATAAAACAGTTACTTATAGACTAGCTCTACTTTACTAAAATTAATAAGTACTTAATAAGCCTAATAGCTATATAAGGGAAAACCTGCTACTAGTTCCTTACTAAATCTAAATATATATCCTAGTATAATATAATATAATAGCCAGACTATAGTAGCTTCCTTTAAATTATAGGTAATTCTAGTACTAGAAAGTCAACTCTTATAAAACTTCTCTTTAATAAGGCCAGACTTAATATAAGAAGTAATATCTCGAAAATTACGCTATTATTCTTCTTTCTTATATAAGGCAGGATCAAGAAGAAGTTAATAATAGGTCTATACCGCTCTCTTCTCTACTAGCTCTTTGAGAAGGTAGTAGATTTAAGAGAGAGCTTGAAGTAAATAATAGCTAATAGCTCGAGAGTTATCTAGCGAAATAAATAGTATAAGAAAGTATTAAAGAAGATATTAATATATACTATTTAGAAGCTTGGGAATCGGTTATTAATAGTATTTATAGATATACTAGATAAATATAATAAGAATCAGGTTAAGGATATAATTTCTTTCTTTAAAAAGCTATATAATTATATAAGAGAAATATAGGTTCAGTTATAAATTTGTTTCTCTAGTTAATATTATCCGACTATCTTTCTTTAAAAAGGTATTAAAGTTACTCTAGAAGACGAAATCGGGTATACGGAAGACATTTAATAATATATTAAATCGAAACTTAAGCTAGGTAAGTAGAAGTAAGCCAAGCTACTTTGATTCAAAATCCTCGAGAAATCTTTAGGGATTTTTCTCTAGGTTATTTTAGTTCTCGATATTCTTAACTCTAAATACCCTAATAGCTCTATTTCTATTAAGCAGATTTATATATATCTTAAGGAAATTCTGCCAGAACTAACTGATTTATTTGAGATAATTCTTATATATAATAGAGAAAACCTTAAGTAGTTATAACTTTATCTCAAATGAATTCTATTTGCGACTTGTTCTATAATACCACAGGAGCTATATTTTGCGATTTAGCTTAGTCTTAATAAATTGTACTCTAGCTATTAGAACCAGGAAGATATAAATTTAGATTAAATAAAGACCTATATAAGAAGTGCCTTAAAGGGTTTGGCCGAAGTTATATGAAATATAGCCTTCGAAGTCTAGTTTATCTATAAGTCTATTCGAGACTTCTTATTAAGTAAATATAAGAATTAGTAGTCTGGGGTTTCCGGCAACTTTATAGGTTATTACTATAAAACTCTAAGGGATTACTGCCTGGCTTAGCTAAATGCTTTAATTAGCTAAGATATTAATATTTCTGACCCTTTACCTCAGGTATCTAAAGCAGTATAGTTGCAAGAGACTATTACCTTAAAGTTTCCCTTTCTTTAATATTCAGTTCTTAATATTCTTTACTATACTAATAGCGCTTAATAGAATGCTATAGAGCAAGGGAATTTTTTGGTTAAGTTTTCTTTTTAATAGTAGAAATTCCTTAATAATACTCTCGAGAGATATGAAATTTGGCAATATAATAATCCAGTTAGTATACTTTATATTCTTGTAGAGAAGAACTTGGCCGACCTAATTCGAATCCATTCTTAGAGGGAGTCCTGCTTCGATATTAAAAAAGGGGGTATTCTGTTATATATTGAAGAGTATAGCAATAAGCCTTTCTAATTGAGTCAGGACAATCTGCGCCAGATAGTATGGATATAGACAATCGGACGCCCCTATTATAAGCTCTTCCCTGCGGGTATAAGGGTATTGTCAAGCTGCTGCTCGAGAAGGGGGCTGATCCGAATGCGGCGGGAGATGGACGGACACTACTAGCCTTAGCCTCTCAGTACGGGCATGTCGATATTGTTAAGCTACTGCTCGAGAAGGGGGCCGATCCGAATGCGGCGGCTAATAGAGACGGATGGACGCCACTAGTTGTAGCCTCTTAGTATAGGTATATCGATATCGTCAAGCTACTGCTCGAGAAGGGGGCCGATCCGAATGCGGCTGCTAAAAGAGACGGACGGATACTACTATACTGGGCCTCTCAGTACGGGTATATCGACGTCGTCAAGCTGCTGTCTGAGAGCGGCTTGGCCTGTTTTCGAGAAGAGGGGCAGAGATAGCGATAGCTAATAAAGAAACGGATTAATACTACTCCTCTTAGCGTTTAAGAACTGAGATATAAAAATAGTTAACTAATTTATATTCTTTTTATTTTTCTAACTTTAATAAAGAGGGGTTCGGGAGAGCTAATCTTTATAAATAGTAACTATCTAGTTAATACTAAATGCTTTTATATAATTTGTAAATATGCTATATTAGTGAGTCTGAAATATTCTAGTAGCTTTACTTGATATTCTTTTGCCTCCTCTTTCTTTATACAAATATACTTGTAATATTGCGCAACTATTGCCCGTACTACTGCATTTCTCTCCAAATTAGGTAAGGTAGTCTGTACTCCCAAAAAAAAAATTTGGTAAAGAAATAAAGCCGATTTTGCAAGCGACTATACTAGCTTTTCTTATTATAATAGATATAAACGCCTATATAAATGTCCTTAAAGCTTTAATAGTCTCGTGTTTTTTCCTCTTAAGGTTCACCTCTATCCCCCTATAATTATACCTCTTATTACTACTATTTATTCTACCGGATAATTCTATATTCTCTTATACTATAAGCTCCCCCAAGAAAAAATCTCTTAACCTGACTAGACCCTCGCCCCTTTTCATTTTCTTATAAAAGCGGGGCCCAGCTTTTTCTCTTTAAAGGAATCAAATTATAAGCTTTGCCTTTTGGTCTTCTCTTTCTAGATGGATTCTTTCCTTATTTATCTCTATTATAAAACATTACTTATAAGATTCAGGAGAAGTAATCCCGAATATATATTCGGGTATTTGAATTCTCGCTAGTACTATAGTAATAATTCTAAGAAATTTTTATAGTCTAGTTAAGATATATTAACTAGAAATAGTCTATTCGGCATTTAAGTCTCTTATACTAGAAGGAATATTATTAGCTCTGCAAATATAATCTTTTAGATAGGTCGGCCCGGAAATTATAATATAAAATTATTAAAAGCAATATAATACTAACTTCCTTTATTAGCTATATATATAATCTTATCTAAGAGAATATAAAAATAAGGATATAAAAATAAGAATATAAAGACAAGAATATAGAGATAAGATATAGAAATAGAGAATTACTATTATAGAATATAAATCTTATAGTAGTACTTATAAATATTACTTGACTAGGTATTAACTATATAGGTTTAGAGAGGCCGGTTCTGGCTCCGAAGCCCAAACTTAGAATTAGTAATTACTATACTATATTACAACTTTTTTGCCTCAGACTATATCTAAGTAATTCTAATATAGGCCTCTATTCTACTATCTATATTACTTAGTAATATTAAGAACTCAGCCTCGAGCAATATATTATTTATACTTATTTAATTTAATTATCTTTAAATACTATATTAGAAGTTATAGGGCCACGAAAATTTTATAGTCTACTATAATTTAAATTATCTCTAAATTATATATCCGAATCTATAAAGTTATAAAACTATTACCCGTATACTAATCTTCCTCTATTTATAAAAATTAAAATTAATATAAGTAAAGAGTTAAAGAATTTAATAATAGCTTTAAGAGCAAAGCCCTATACTTAAAAGAAGTTTAATAACCTCGAGAATAGATTTAAAGAAAAAAAGAAATTATATTTCTAGAAGCAGGCTAAGCTATAATAGCAAGTAAAGAAATAAACGAGAGAGAACTTTAAGCTTTTAGAGGAGCTAAATATTAAAGAGTATATATTAGAGATCTAATTAGTAATATTAGGAAAACTTACTACTAATAAGAATTACCTTAAAAACTTAATAGAAGGCCCTGGAAAAAAATTATAAATTTTAATAAGCAGATAAAAAAAATAACTAAGGCTTTAATTATATTAAGATATTAAATAGATAATATAAATAGAATTGCATTATTAGATACTAGTCTATTATAGTAAAGATAAAAGGCAAGTATAAAAGATACTGCTATAGAGGTTTAGAGCTTAATAGTAGAAATAGCAGAAATAGCTTATTCTAGAAAGCAAAAATAAAGTATTAGAGAAGAGTTCTTTTAAGTATTATAAAAGTAATCTTTAATATTAAAACAAGTTCTCTTATAGTTATAAGGGTAAATATCTTTAATCTTTAATATATAAAACCTTACCTTCTTTTCTATTAGGTTATAAGTAATATTTATTATTATAATTTTCTAATTACTTCTATCTTAAATTGAAATCTAAATAGGTTTACTATTATATTTCATAATCTCATTAATAGTAAGACTAGATTAAGGTTCCTTATAATATAGTTTCTTGCCCGGTTCTTCGAAATCTTCTAATTAGCGAATTACTTCTCTAGTATCTAGTCTCGAGACTATAATTATAATATTAAGCTTCTAGGTATAGGCTTTCTTAAAAATAGTTATAGAAATAGCTAGCTTAATTCACTTGCCTTAATTACTTATAATAGTAAGAATAATAGTTGAAGCCTTAGACTATAACTATAAAGTATTAACTATAGAGGCAGTATTAGTTAGATTAGCTTTATATATATGGAAGTAATTCCTACTAGTAAAAGAGAGTACTATAAATAACCTTACTACTATTCTTATCTAGTAATAGAATATTAATTATAAAGTATTCTATAAAGAAATAATTATATCTTTAATTAATTATTCTTATCTAAATATAAGTAAAGGTATTATAAATATAGAAATAATTACTATAGCTAGTTAAATAGATATAAGGGCCAAGACGGTTCTACTTTAAGCCTTCTAACTAAATACTATAGAGGCTATAGTCTTTTTACTAAATATAAGTATAAATACTATAGATAACTAGATATCTAGAAGTATAAAGAAAGTTCTATCTTAGATTACTTAACTAAATATAAGTGCTACTAGTTACTAGATAGCTAGAAATATAGATACTAATAGAATAATAGTGGAATAGCTATATTATATAAGCAGTTTAGCTATAATCTATAGAGAGAGAATCTATTAAATAATTTCTAAGTCTTCTAGTTACTCTAAATAGTATATATTAATAATAGAACTTATAGAATAGTTCCTCTAGATAATCTTATAGTATTTATCTAGGCTCCTTAACCTTAATATAATAGCGGTATATACTTTATTTACTAATTATTCTACTAAAAAAAGAGCCTATAGAACTATTTCTATATCTTCTATAAATATATCTTCCGAGATAATAGTAGCCTAGATACTTTCTATAAGTGAATCTACTAGAAATAATTACTATATAAAACCTAGGAAAATAATATCTCTAATACGGGAATCTCTACTATAAATACTAGTTAAATCCCGTCTATATTATTTATTAGTCAAGTCTGAGCGCCCTAAGTAATATAATTAAGTAATAAGGCTAATATTATAATATCTATTAAAACTTCTTAATCTTGAGGTAATAGTAATATAGGTGTTCTTTATAAGCGGTTCTACTAAAGGAAGAGCCTATAAGACAATCTCTATATCTTCTATTAATATATCTTCTAATAAGATAATAGTAGCTTGAGTTCTTTTTATAGAAAGCAATTACTATATAGCCTCTATAGAGATAATATCTTTACTATAAGAGCTAATTAAATCCCATTTATATTATTAGCCAGTCGAGTTTAAGTACTCTTTTAGTTATCCTAAATAATATAAATAAGTAATAGGGCTAGTAAAATAGCCTTTTCGGGTAAACCTATAATATTTGTCTAGGCTCTATAAATTCTATATTAATAAGATACCGGATATAGTAATAATACTATCTGTATTTTCTATAGGTCTTATAGAATTTAATAATAAAAAAATCTCAGATAATAGTAGTAGAGCCAGTTACTAGTTTATAGGTAGTTCTTCTATATTATTAACTTCTTATTTTCTTTTCTTTTCTTTTTAATTTCCTATATAATTATTATATAGCAGATAAAAGAAGTTCGGTTAGTTTAAGTTATTCTTAGTAGTATTAAAGAAGCTATAAAAGAAGTCTTATATAATAGTAAATAATATAAGGTATTATTTAGATATAATATTATATAAAGTTAAATATATATAATTAAAAAAAAGGCAGCCTTTATTTACCTAGAAAATACTACTATATAATTAGCTATATTTATATAAGATATCTAGTCTACTATATTTATCTGAGATATCCGGTCTATTATTCTTATAATCTAAGGTTAACTTAGAGGCAGCTATTATTATTTCTTTATACTCGGAATTACTAATAATTTAATATATAAGTTATATCTTTTATTACCTTACTTCTTACTCTATTAAAGGCCAAATTCTTTATATATAGTCTTTAATCTTACTATTATCTACTACCTTAAAATTATAGTATAATTTATATATATATCTATATTTATTTCCAAGAACTAGTATAAAGAGCTTAATTTACTATTAAGGCTATAGCCCTAGCTTCTATATACCGCACTTACTAATATCTTTCCGAGATACTTGCCTATTTATTTCGGGAAAGTACTATAGGGCAAGAAGCTAGAGTATATAATATATTATCTAGAAGATATATAAACTAGAAAATATTTAATTATTAAAAGTAAACTTAGTAGTTTAAACTTTAATATTCGGCTAACTATTATATAGGATATTAAAATACTATAATAAAGAGCCCTTACTTTTACCTAGTAAAGTCTTCTTTAATATTTTTATATAAAGTTCGAGGTATTTTATATCTTCTAGAAATATATATATTATTATAATAATATACTTTATTAAATAAATATACTTAAGTATCTATAAGTAAATATTATTATCTTAAATTATAGAAAAAAGCTCTTATAATAGTATTTGTATCTAAATAAATATATAATCTTTAAGAGATAAGCCGAAATAGAGACTCTAGAAAAGAAAAGCCATATTAGTATTAATTAGAAGCTAGTTGTTTTTATTCTTACTAATAATATAGGCTATTATTACTTTAATTCAATATAAGTAGTATATTATTTCCTATACTTTATTAATAAGAAGAAAAGATATTAGGGAGGACTAAATATCTTGAAGTAATATAGATTCGAGAGCTATAAGAAAGTTCCTAT